AAAATGGTCTCAATCTTAAAGCAGACCCTCTCACGGTCTAGTGAGAATGTTTTCCTATTTCCGGCCTGGTGTGAGCCTTGGCTCATGGGATCCTGACCAACAAAATGGTATTTTATGTTTTACAACTTAGAGTTAAAGAAGTAAACCAAATTTACAGCATACCATTTTTGTAATAATAGTGTACATATACATTATGTACGTGTACTATAGGTATCAGGGAACAATATGCAAAGTTTGCGGAATAAAGGAGTAATAACCTGGAAAATGTCACATTATTTTTACTGTAAGTATTTTATAACTAAGGGTTATAACTAATTTTATAACTAAGCCTGCTCTAATATTTTATTAGGTATAAGGAAACAATATGTAAAATGTGGGGAATAAATTAAAACCTGCAATATTACGTGGAACACAAACGTTTTGCAAGAGAGCGCAAAAGATTTGAAAAATATTTTTTCCTCCCACCCCGTATTTTTCCCACCAACATGTCCCTTTAGGGGTTCCGTAGTATACATACAGATAAGGTTATATTAAATGACTTAACCAGTCATATACATTTTTTAAAGAAAGAAATAATTCAGATAAATCACAAGCCTCTCAAACAAAGAGACAAACAAATGACTCAGTGTATGGACATGGACAAGAATTATACGTTCACATAAAGAGTCCCATCAAACTGATTCATCGCAACTGAAACACCACTAGGAGAAACAAAAACATGATTGTGTCACTGCAAACCATGTCTCCTCCTTACAGACACTGTAGGTTATTTGAAATCAAAACTTATCTTTTCTCTTTTGTAGATCACATCATGATGCCGTCTTCATGAATCCAGGTCCTCCAGCACTTTACCAACTGAACACAGACAGAAAATGTATTGATGGGAATCAGAACAAAGTCAGACGATGGACATATGGAAGAAGAGACAGAAACAAGCAGAACAAAGTCATACGGATGGTGGGAGAAACCGGTACTGGGAAAACCACCCTCATCAACACCATGATCAACTACTTACTGGGAGTGAAGTTTGAGGATGAAGAGTTTTACCAAATCACAGAAGAAGAAGATTTAGAAGAATCATTAACCCAGACATCTGAGATCACTGTTTATGAGGTGTTTGTTGAAGAAAACCCAACATCTCTCACCATCACTGACACTCCAGGATACGCAGACATTGAAGGATACGAGAAAGACAGAGAGATTTCTGAGTATCTGATCAGATTATTCTCAGATGAGGATGGGATTCATTATATTGATGCAGTGTGTTTTGTGATGAAGGCGACTCAGATTCGAATCTCTGGAAAAGAGCTTTACATATTTCACTCAGTTCTGTCTCTGTTTGGTAGAGATATAGAGAACAACATAGTGTTTCTGTTCACACATTCAGATGGAGGACCTCCAACAGATGCTCTCAGTGCCATTAAGAAAGCCCAGATTCCCTGCAGAAGAGATGGGAAAAAACAACCTGTTCATTTCTTATTCAACAACCAGCAGAAAGAGAAGAGAGACAAACGTTATGAGCGAGTTTTGAATTCAGTTTACAGTCGTACCTCAGCTTTTAACAGTTGGATCTTTGATTGTGTGTGTGCGTAACAATATTGTGCAATCAATTGGTGTAGCCTACCTGGAGTGAAACATAGAGGTGGATAAACTGAACCTGAATAAATTATCATTGAAGGAAGCGTGAATTCTGCTATATGCTATACAATTCCTAAGAAGAATGTGCGAGGAGCTTCTCTTCAGTGGTGATACTAAAACAAAGTGTTCTGAAACAATGAAGCTTTTGATACTAATAGATTTAAACTGGGTTCGTTATTGAAGCTTCACTGTCATCCACTGGCCAGCAAGATGAAGAGCATCTTTCAGGGGCTTGTTTTACAACCCATTCATAAGGTTCAATTATGAAATCACATTGAGTTTAAAAATTATAAAAACTATTATGTTGTCTGTGTGTATTTTTCATTAAAGCATTTATACATTTATCATGTAAACAAGGTTCATGTTTTAATGAGTCACGAAGACAATGTAAATAAATAAATAAAACCAATAAGAGTGGGTTGAATTGTTATCCGATTACAATTATACAGTTATTTGAATGTGTTTATATATTTAATGTAGGCTTTATTTCTGCCTAGAAACAAATTATATTTCTGTGAATTTCCAATCATAAAGCAACAACAACAACGAGCTGAAGGTAAAACAGAAAGTGAAAATAATATGAGAAGTTACTCTACTTGTGCGGGTTAGTTTTCTGTAATCAACAGTGGATTTAACGAAGTTAGATATCCAACATATTAATTACACTGTTTGGAGGATGGAAATGGAGTGACTGTCCAGCACTAATTCACCTACAGAAAGCTGATTGTTCAGTCTCCAGGTAAGTATCAGCAAGGAGGGACATAAAAAGTGAACCACCACCAAGTTTTTTTTTTTTTTTGAGAATTATGAGATTTAATGCAGGGGCAAGACTAAATAAATGTTTGTGGGAGGAACAGAGATGTATCTTTCCTGACTGTATGAATCATTTATGATAGTTGTTTGAAAAAAAAAAATTATAATAATGCTGTGGTAATCATTTTTGCAAAAGCTTTTATTCTTGTGTAAGAAATGGTTTTGACCTGTTTTATCATCCAGCATGTGAAAACCATGAGAAAAGTAACCACTTTCATTTATCTAGACACGTGATTTGAGGAATCATTCATACCTGCAGCACAGACACTGAAGGACGACGCACACACTCGACTCTCGGTTTGAGCACATCACTAACACTAGATAAGTGCAATATTAATAAACTAAAAAGCAATTAAATATTATCTTCTGCCTGAAGCAATCATTTTCCTCAGTTTTACAGAGACACCTGCTGCGATGTTTAACATGAGATTGAAGGGCATCTTAGAGTATGACCAGATTGTAGATTTAAAAAGGTTAGTGTCAAAATCCATGTGTAATCTTATTCATAATCTTATTCATTCCTGTCACCTTAAGAGATAACAACAATCAACATTTAATATTTAATTTTGTCTCACGTCCTATAAGCAAGGCATCAGATTGCTCGCACAACAGCGTCTTTCATGCAAGACTTGGTAAACAAGTCAACTTTTTTTTTGCCTACTTCAAAATCATAACATGTCATTAAATATAAAAATAGTCTAATAGCCTACACCAAACTCAAAGTCAGCATACTGATGTTGTTTTTTTTAACATATTGACATATGACATAGAATAACATATCAACAAACCAACAATAGGCTACTGTTTCTGGGTCCAAGTCATAACTTGTTTCGAGTGAAAATACAGTAAAAATAGTACAAAATCTCAGTAGCCATTTATGAGGACTCAAGGGTGCAAAACTACTGAGTTTAGTTCCAACCCTGCTCCAACACACATACCATGCAGTTTTCAAAAAAACCTGAAGGACTTGATGAACTGGTTCAGGTGTGTTGAAGCTAAACTCTGCAGGGCTGTGGAACTAAGTTTTCGACCCCTGCTTTATCATATAGCACACCTTTAAGTTAAACTTTTAATAACTCACAGTGTACACTAGGGGTGGGAATCTTTTGGTATCTCACAATTCGATTCTAAATCAATTCCTACACATGTAAAACTAAAACAATGAATAGTCTTCACTGTATGAATAAAACATAAATTGATTCTTTAAAAAGATAAATTTCTCTTTTGTTGTTGTTTTTGTTTAACATTAATAAAATAGACCGGAAAAAAGTGCCTGCTGTCCCTTTAAGACCGAATAAATGGATCCAATATACAGATACACATCCGGTTTTATCTTAACTGTTTACTTTCACATAGGACATGGCCGACCATGATATGCAATAAGTCACGAAAGAGAACTTAATTCACGGTCACATGCTAGGCGGTTTTTGCACGCACTCCGGTTGTGTGTGTCCATCTGCGCAAGCACGTGGCTTATTGAAGTTAAAAATTATTTTAATTAGAAAAAAATTAATTACCAAATCATTCGAAAAAATTATTTTACACTTTATTTTACGGTGTCCTTGCATGTTAAGTGCGCTTCCTATAGTAATGACAACAACTCATGCATAATTACATGCAACAAACTCAGTCACTCATTAAGACAGTGATGTGCTGCCATCTACTGGCAGATGTAGCTTCATATTTTCATTATTTTCAGTGATTTTACAGTTTTGAAGTAAGAATTTGACAAAATATAACATACATTTAATAAGGTTACAAGGTGCATACGATTTAGATATGTTCTAATTCAAGGTGAATGTAGCAGCCAAAGGATGGAGAGGAGAAACAGTTGATAAAGTAAAGATAAAGCCATTAACTCAATAAAACTCAGAGGTAAACACTAATAAAAGGACAAGTCATATTTATTTGTATAGTGATTTCAAAATCAGTTTTACATAAGTTAGGTTATTCTAAATGGCTTAAAATGTTTTGCCTCCAGTGATCAGCTTTATAGTAAGTCTAGTTCATTTTAAATTTGCCTATAGAAATATAAATTTGTTTTCTGTTTATAGTATATGTACAGACAGTGAGGGTGTGAGGACAGCATCCAAGACACATTGTGAAGACAGCATCCAAGCAACCGTTTCAGATGAGCAGGTAGGCAAAAAGGGACGCATGTTTGATGAAATGCAATATAGATAATTAAGATCATTAAGCTTTCTCTTTTTTTAATGATGTTTATTTGATTGGAAAAAAAATGCATTTAGATGTATAAACAAAACTGCATAATAAACATAAAATAACTGCTTAGAACAGACTATAGCCAATTGTGGTTGTTTTTGCTGTTTTAGTTGTATGTCTAAGTGGACTTCTTGTTATTATATCAGATCCAAGGTGAAAGTAGCAGCAGATCAGACGAATCAAAAGAAGGAGAGGAAAAACTTCAGTTCAGGTAAAAGCAAACAAACATAACTAAAGAGACCAATGGAGATGTTAAAGATGCCAAATACTGGCTTTTGTGTTAGGAATAACTGACACCAGGTTGTTGTTTTATTTGTAGGAAAACAATGCACACCCTGATGTGGTATTTTATTGTGTGAATTATTGTTCTAATAATTCAATGGGTCTGAGTCAATTATTTCGCTTATAAAACAGTTCTCTATCGATACTTCACTCGTACTGCGTTTGTTTAAGACGCTTGGGGGGAAACTCCTTTTTCTCAGATGACTGAAGCCTTTCAATAACGCAGTATAACTGCACGGCCATTGGTTCGTGCAGTGAATAAAAAACGAACCAATGGCTCAGCAGCGGGTAAAGCCCGCCAAAGCCCGCCAGAATGGGCGGGGTCCTCTGGCTATATAAGCGGCACATCACCATAGGATCCTCAGATTATTCTCCTTCAGCGACGACTACCAGATCTTCGCTCTACGAGACTACGAAGCCTTCGCCGTGATCAAGCCTTGCAGCAGATCGAGAGACCCCTTCCTGCTCGGCCATTCTCGCCGCTTCACGCTGCCTCAGCGACGGTACCCTGCCGCTATCCGGCGATATAAAAGAGCAAATTTCAAAGAGCAAATTTTCGGCGTTGTTTCAAATGCTGCGCCGTTACTGTCGCTCGTGCAGGGCCCCCCTGCACACCGCTGACGGTCACGGCGAGTGGGTTTCATGCTTGAGCGCCGCCCACGCTGAAGCAGCACTCATTGAGACGGAATGTTCTCATTGCAAGGATATGAGTCTCGCCTCTCTGCGCTCGCGGAAAGCTTTCTTTTCAGAGAGCAACTCCGCCCCTCGCACCCTCCCGCTTTCTTCCTCCCAGGAGCCTGTGAGGAAAAAGCAGCGGGGCAGAGGAACTCAGCGCTCGGTGACGAGTGAGCCCATGCCGGCTGAGCCCCCGCGTACCTCACTCTATCCACTCAGAGAGGTTTCTCCAGTCCACTTCTCCCTCCCAGACCAGCGTTCCTCTGTGGCTGCAAGCGATCTGGTCTCATTTGGAAGAAGCGAGTGTGACGCCATGGACGACAGCATGTCGTTGGAGGCTTCAGATGTGGAGGAGCTGTCGGGCTCGTACGTCGACCCCGCCCCCTTGCCATCTGCACAACCCAGCACAGCCAGCACGGGCATGGACGCCGAGCTTTTCCGCGTCCTGTCTAAAGCGGTGGAGGAGCTGGGTTTGGAGTGGTCTCCGCCGGAGGAGTGGAGTGGAGTGGTTATGGATGCTAGGCCTCATGGCCTCGGTGTCTCCAGTACTACAATTGGGCCTGTTCCGCATGCGGCCCCTTCAGTATTGGCTGAAACCACAAGTTCCATCCCGCGCCTGGCGTCTGGGACGCTTTCGCGTCAAGGTAGACCAGACCTGTGTTTCAGCCCTGGTCCCTTGGAAAGATCCTCGTTGGATGGAACGGGGCGTGCCCCTGGGAATGGTCTGCAGAAGGAAGGTAGTCTCGAAAGACGCCTCCAACACGGGTTGGGGAGCGCTGTGCAATGGCAAGCCAGCTTTCGGCCACTGGTCGAAAGAGGAAGGCCGGCTTCACATCAACTCCCTGGAAATGCTGGCAGTGTGTCTGGGCCTTCGAACCTTTCTGCCGGACCTAAGGGGACACCACGTCTTAGTCCGCTCGGACAGCATGACGGTAGTGTCCTATATAAATCGCCAGGGCGGTCTCTCCTCAAAGCGCCTCTTCGCACTAGTGGAGCGCCTTTTGGAATGGGCTCAGCTCAAACTTGCGCTCGCTGAGAGCAGCGCATGTACCGGGCAGGCTGAACCAAGGAGCAGACATGCTGTCTCGGAGCAACGTCCCCTCGGAGGAGTGAACGCTCCACCCTGAAACGTTTCAGAAAATCTGGGAGATCTTCGGCAGGGCAGAGGTCGACCTCTTCGCCTCAGAAGACAACTCTCATTGCCCAACTTACTTTTCGAAGGACAGGGACGCGTTTTCCCACGACTGGCCCAACCTCCTCCTTTACGCTTTTCCCCCGATCGCTCTGATCCCACAGGTGATCAGGCGAGTCAGGGAACAGAGACGCAAGGTGCTGTTGGTGGCCCCACTCTGGAGGAACCAGCACTGGTTTGCAGAGTTGTGCCGGCTGTTCTCGGCAGCCTCGTGGCCCATTCCCCTGAGACGGGGCCTCCTCTCTCAGGCAAACGGAGCGATATGGCACCCCCAGCCTGAGCTGTGGGCTCTGCACCTTTGGACTCTCGATGGGAGCTTGCGAACCTCCCCGAGAATGTGCTAAACACAATCTTTCAGGCTAGAGCACCGTCTACAAGACGCCTCTACGCCCTTAAATGGTCTGTCTTCTCTGCCTGGTGTACAGCCCGCGGCGCAGACCCAATCTCATGCGACATATCTCTGATATTGTCCTTCCTGCAAGAGCTGTTAGATAAGGGTCGTTCCCCTCCCACGCTCAAGGTATATGTAGCAGCCATAGCAGCTTCTCACGCTCCTATAGCTGGCCAATTGGTGGGCAGGAACAACTTGGTTGTTCATTTTCTTAAGGGGTCTAGAAGGCTCAACCCACCTCGCCCCATCACTGTCCCTACATGGGATCTGCCCACGGTGCTGAGGGAGCCCTCCATTTGAGCCGCTACAGTCCATTGACCTTCGTCCCCTGACGCTTAAGACTACTCTGCTTCTAGCATTAGCATCGGTAAAGTGTATGGGAGATCTGCAGGCGCTATCAGTGAGCCCC